ATTATTAACAATAAAACGAGGAAACGAACAAAGAAAGGCAAAATACAAACAGTATGTTTTGTAAATCACCTTGCAACTGTTAACAAAAACCTGAAACTCTTGCTTCTCACTATCGTCCGCGGGAAGGATTCGTTTTTCTCAGAAACCAACCGGATAATTGTATTCCATAGGTTGTCGTGACACAGAAGCTATCATGACTTTGTCTGAATAGCCGACGTTTATATCCCGGATCTTCATAGCCATAACCACTCGATCTTGTATTTCCTTGTCTCCCGTCTTCATGTCTTCACATACAAGTTTGTATTTCAAATAGAGTCGCTCTCTGAATTTCTGCAAAACACTGGGCTATACAAAGTATCCAAAGTATTCAATAGTTGTATTAGGTTTAAGTTTGGACGTTACCAGTCGACATGCTGTTCGCCAACTAGCCAAAGCCAGACTGTTGACATCGTTTTATTTCGGTAGCAGGCCAATGCACAACCTTCGCACATAGGAACCCCACCAGACAAACAAGCTGTGTATTATTCATGTATCTTCTAGGTAAATTAGCCCTGGCTGCTTGTGTTTGTTTGTCTTCTTTCTAGAGTTACCTCATCTCTATGCTGGAATTGAAGGGGTGGGTGGGACGCAATTTTTTTAAACTTTTTTTCAAACGTTCTGGAATTTTCTGCGTAGTCCGCCGCCAGCCACGTGAATGAACGAGGCGATCTTGTAGGCCCTTCATGAGATGTTCCGTCCACGAGGCAGAACCGCTTTCGAAGCTACACCGCCCAGTAAGATAAACAGTTTCGACACGGCGTTCTCCATTAATGAAGACTATATTTCACCTGGTCATGCTCGCAGTAATACTTCTTGTCTCGTGGATCATACATTGCAGCCGGCGACCTGATGGCCTCAGCTGGCGTCTTTTCTTCAATAAACATTCGAAGCGATACCGACGCTGCTGCTTCTACAGTCCGAATTGAACCGGATACTGAGACAAACGAGAATAACTGAAATAAAGAAAAAATTGCCGATTTGAATTAGACTCAAATATGTCTGCTCAGCTTTTTCGAGTCAAAGACAAGCGCTCTTTGAGAAAGAAATGAGGTTTTATTCTAAAGATTGGTCAGGTTTGTAGATTAAACGGAATTAAGCTTGTCAGTACAATGTTTCCAAACTAGCGACCCTTTAATATTGTTTTTACCTGGGCAACAGCCACATGCAATCTTCAAAACGGCAAGGAAATGTTAATGTTAAGGAAAAGTTAATGTGGAAAATACCATAGTGGTGTTATCATATCGTTTCCGATACAACAAGATGTCCGCCATCGAAGTGAAAGGCTTCGAACGAGTTACATTCCCTCGATCATTCGTATCAGCAAAATAAGGATATGCCCATGAGTCATCGTCGCTATAGTAGAATTTGAAATACAAAATTTTCAACGCATTTAATTCATATTAGCCTTTGTTTCCTTTAAAACTTCAAAAAAACTTATACTGATCGCTCACTTACGATTCATGAAGGCGTGACATTGCGACAGAAAACACTTCTTCATGTTCCAAGGAAGACGATACTGTGAACATGGTGGTCACACGGTCCGCACCTACCTGAAAGTTAAAGCTGTGCTAATTCGCACTGCTTCAGCTGAGCAGCACGTGCACAGCTTGGAAAACAGTATCCATCCATTTAAAGTATCATACTACTTCGTAAAAGGATATACACGGAATGTGCTGTTTTTGTGCGATGTGACACACATTCCGCTTCTACATAATATCGTCAAAGTGCTCTGAAGATTTTGTCTAGACAACGTAATGCGTGCTAACTAATTTGTGATAACTAAGTTGTGTTTTAAGGTTAATTTTTGGAAATATGTGTAATTAAAAAGTGGAATGTCTGGTGAAAATTTCTACATGCGAACAGTGCAAAGATGTTGTTTCTCTAAATAGGAAACCACCCAGCGCTCTTGAAACGGTTGCTGTGAATAATTCTACTTAACGAGATCTGTAATCCACTACCTGCTGTTTGATTAACGACGAATGTTATTGTTGCAGTATCACTGTATACTACATTACAATGCATTGATTGTTCTATTATTTTCAATAATATAATAGTACTGAAGATCTATCCGTTCACTATAAAATCATAGACGTACTTTTGTTAAGTTCTGCCTCTTTTTAAATGGCTCTCCATTCATAATATCTTCAACTGCATGCTCAATTTCTCCTTCCGATAAGAGTGAATCCTTTCCCTGAAAATTATAATAATTCGTTTGGAAACAACATGGTCAAAACATTCAAGTTCTGATACATAGCAGTTTTAGTAATGGTGACCATAAAATTTTCGTGAATGGCAGAGTTCATCATCCAATTGACTATGCAGATTACGCAGTTACGAGAATTTCTTTCTCGGTGGAATCGATAGGTTGACCAGACTGAAATCTATCTGGGCTCTGCGCGGTTACAGCTGAAAATTTGGTAACTGTGCTCATCACTTGCAAGGGACGGGCCTATTATACTATATGTCTTTATTGCAGAACTAGGTTTAACTTGGCAGCTAAGTATTTAAACATATCTCAGAAAAATATTGGCCTTTGTGATCTATAGATCTTAAGTATTAATCACTTTGTAAGGCTAGATAGTTAGCTTCAGAAAAGTGTTTGAAATACATAGAAAAGTACGAGGTTACTCAGTCGCCAGCTCAACACTTTTGCCATGGCAACGCTACACATTCCTTTTTCGAAAGCGGAAAAAGACGACCTTCCGCGAATTAAATCGTGCGCAAAACCTCGTAGGAACTCTGTTATTTGGAAAGAACACCGTACAAAGCCTGGGATCACATCCCCTAACGGGCCACCAAAATAGCCTGACTTCGTCTTCAAGACCGTGTGGATATGCAAAGAGATGAATTTCTATAGCTTCTTTGCATTCCATGTATATGTCAAATTTGGACGTTCGTTCGCTCTGCTGAACTTCCATTCTATTTCAACATTATTGTTTCAATAGCGTAATTGTTTATTCAGGGAGCGGAAGTGGTGTAGTGGTAAGTGGCGTGCTAGTCACGAGGTTCGAATTCCGAATCGATGTCTGCCTGAGCTAGCCAAGCCTTTCATCCCTCCGGAGTCGGTTGATTGGTATCAGACACGTCTGGGAGGATAAAAGTACTGACATATACATCGGGTGGCCACCGTCAGTCATTGTATAGGCCACATATGCATTCAATGCGCCACTGCAATTTCGAATAAAAGTCGAGTGCGTGGAGCCTCAGACGGGATTGATCAACGCCCCGAAATACGTAGGTTGCCTGTTATATTCCGGGATTTGAGAACAGGAATAGATACTATTTATTGAAAATCGCTTGACTGCCTTTCCAAATTCTCCACATTAAGATCTATACACTTTTGCATGGGCTCGAACCAATTTTCGAAGCACTTTTGCCACTCTGATTAAGGTAACTCTAAAACATGAGTTCTGAAAGCATTGACGGCTTCTTCAGGTGTCGAAAAACGTTGACCTCTCATTTTATTTTTTACGTACGGGATGAAAAGAAGTCACCCGGG